AAGCACTCACGGGACCTCACAGCAAGGAGTGGCGCGAAGCGATGGATGCGGAAATTAAGGCACTTGAATCCCGCGACACCTGGGTGCTCGTCGATCGAGCGGCAATCAAGGGGAGAAGGATTCTCTCCGGGAAATGGGTCTTCCGCGTGAAGACCACAGCCGACGGCACGATCAAGCGATTCAAGGCGCGCTGGGTAGTGCGCGATTACGATCAGAGGCACGGCATTGACTTCGACCAGACATTTGCACCGGTCAGCCGTCACACCTCTGTCAGAATCCTCCTTGCCATCGCTGCCGCAAGACACCTCCCGCTCCGACAAATCGATGTGAAGAACGTGTTCCTGTACGCGTTAGTGGATGCAGTGATCTACGTGGAGCAGCCGCACACATACGGCGAAGGGGATTCGCGTGTCTGCCAGCTTCGAAAATCCCTTTATGGGATCAAACAGGCACCGAGGCTCTGGCAGCAGTACCTGCACAACATACTGCTTGAAATTGGGTTCAAGCAGTTGCCTCACGATCCAGGGATGTATCGCCGCGATTTCCGCGGCGAATACATCCTACTCACGGTCTACGTTGACGACCTCCTCTACACAGGGTCAAGCAACGAGTTGCTTGAGCAGTTCGAGAAGAACCTCGCAGGGCGCGTCAACATCACTTGCAACCATGACGTGAAGCAGTTTCTCGGGCTCAACATCTCCTATTCGCCGGAAGCCATTCACCTCTCAGCAGCCAAGTACGCAGAGGAACTTAGCAAGCGCTTCAACATTGCACCTGCACCACTCTCCACCCCTTACCGCACTCGAGGACCCAACCACAAGCCTGACAACAAAGCCATGTCCCCCGCTGGGCTTCACACCTACCAGCAGCAGCTGGGATGCCTACTCTTCGCCTCTGTTACATGCAGGCCCGATCTCTTCTACATCGCGAGCCAGTTGGCTCAGTACTCTCGCAAACCAACGGCAGAGAATCTGCTAGACCTTCAGCGGGCACTTCAATTCTTCATCTCCACGCCCAATGTTGGGCTCTGCTACTCTACTATCCCAACCTCGTCCTTCAACCTCATCGGCTACGTGGACGCTGATCATGCCGCTGACCCCGACAATCGACGGTCCAGGACAGGCTTCCTCTTCCGCCTCGAGCCCAGCGGCCCCATCTCCTGGAATTCGCAGAAACAGGAGCGGGTTGCCCTGTCGTCGGCAGAAGCCGGATTCATCGCAACAACAGCAGCCGTTCGCGAAGGCCTCTATCTTCAGGAGCTGCTGCAGGAGGCGAAAATTCCAGCCTCGACGAACTTTTGTCTGCACTGCGACAATCAGAGTGCGATCATGATCGCGAACAAGCCTGGATTCGTCAACCGCACCAAACACATCGCGCTGCGGTACTTCTTCGTCAAGGACGAAGTTGACAAGGGCAAGGTTGACCTAACCTACTGCCCGACGGGTGACATGGCAGCTGAATTCCTCACGAAGAAGCTGTCACGTCAGTGTCAGAAATACTAGGAGTAGGGCCTAGGCTTAGTAGCCTAGGCCAAAGTGAGACTAGCAGGTTGTGCCAAGCAGGATCGAAAATGATAGAAACAGAATGGGATGATTGCACTAGCAGGCAGGTTGGTACAAATAGGAAACCCTAAAGGGCTGTACTCATTATTGAGTACCCCACTGCAAGCTAGACAAATAACATATTCTGACACACCCCCATAGTCAAAGTGGGGTATAATCAGCACAGCAAGCAGTCATAGAGCAGGTTCACCAGTACAAGCAAAGCTAGAGGCATTCACAAAGGGCAAGTGAGGAGGAGGAGGCTGGACTGTGAGAGGAGAGGAGATAGGAGGCGACGGCTGAAGCTGCAGACACACGGGCAACAGGAGCGGCGCGCATGGTGGCTACCGGAGCAAGGGCCCCGGAGTACAGGAGTAACTGGCTCTGCGGCTAACTCTGAGCGGCAGGAGCAACGGACCCACGGGCGACAGACGCAGCAGGCTCTCTGAGCTACCAGCAGCAGAGCCTCGGACTACAGGTGCTGCGGACGATAAGACGGCAGCCTCCACTCAACCTCCCCCAACTGTCCCACCCCCCTTTCACACACCCCTTGCTGTACCCCTAGCTCCACTCCCACGTCACCCCCCTAGTGCCACTCCCCTCGGCTCCCACACATCCACCCCCCTCAACGGCAGCTGTAGCAGTGGGAGACGGACACGTATCACCCCCACACCCGCCACCCCCACACCCTCTTGTCCAGGGGACGGGGGGGGGGGGGGGGGGGGGGGGGGGGCAGGGTAGCCGCGCGTGCAGGGCAACAGCGCGGAGCAGGGCAGGCAGCCGCGCGTGCAGGGCAACGGCGCGGAGCAAGGCAGGCAGCCGTGCGTGCAGGGCAACAGCGCGGAGCAGGGCAGGCAGCCGCGCATGCAGGGCAACAGCGCGGAGCAGGGCAGGCACACGGGGGCGGCTGCTCGAGAGCAGGCGCGGGTGAGGCAGGGGCGACTGCACGGAGTGAGGGGGCGGCTGCTCGAAGGCAGGCGCGAGGTGAGGTAGGGGCGGCTGCACGGGGTCCAGGGGCGGCGTCGCGGGTCCAGGGGCGGCGTCGTGGGGTCCAGGGGCGGCTGCACGGAGTCCAGGGGCGGCTGCACCAGGGGCGGCTGCTTCAGGGGCCAGGGGCGACTGCTCTGGGTCCAGGGGCGGCTGCTCAAGGGTCCAGGGGCGGCTGTACCAGGGGCGGCTGCTGCAGGGGCCAGGGGCGGCTGCTCTGGGTCCAGGGGCGGCTGCTCCAGGGGCGGCGTCGCTGGTGCAGGGCAGCGCGCGGGCCCCACAGGCGCCGCGACGGGCGACGAGGGGCAGCGCGTAGCCCCCCCGAGGGCGCCGCGACGGGCGACGGAAAGGCCGCGCGCGTGCCCCTGGGGCACCACGACGGGCAGCGGGGGGCCGCGCACAGGCCCCAGGGGCGCCTCGACAAGCGACGGGGGGCAGTGCGCGGGCCCCCTGAGGGCGCCGCGACGGGCGACGGGGGGCAGCACGCGGGCCCCCTGAAGGCGCCGCGACGGGCGACGGGGGGGGGGGGGGGGGGGGGGGGGGGGGGGCAGCTTGCGGGCCCCTGAGAGCGCCGCAACGGGCGACGGGGGGGGCAGCGCGCGGGCCCCTGGGGCGCCTCGACGTAGGGTGAAACCGCCGCGCGCCCCGAGCGCGCGGCGGGCAGAAAAAGCCGCCACGCGCTCCGAGCGCGTGGCGGAAAGAAAATGACACATCGCGCACCACGGGGCGCGCGACAGTCAGAATGACAGCGGAAGCAGTTGGTGGGCCCGTTGAGGAAGGCGGTAGGAACATACTCGCTCTAGATACCATGTCAGAAATACTAGGAGTAGGGCCTAGGCTTAGTAGCCTAGGCCAAAGTGAGACTAGCAGGTTGTGCCACGCAGGATCGAAAATGATAGAAACAGAATGGGATGATTGCACTAGCAGGCAGGTTGGTACAAATAGGAAACCCTAAAGGGCTGTACTCACTATTGCGTACCCCACTGCAGGCTAGACAAATAACATATTCTGACAATCAGCAGTACCAACACTGCTCCGAACTCAGCGGAGTAGTCAAGTGGGTCAAGACTTGCTACGGCCAGGAGTGAAGGGGGGTGTTACGAATAATAATTATCGAAGCATCACTGTGCACTCCTCACCGCATCAATCGAAGCGCGCACTACCGAGAATGAAGACGAAAGGGAGGAAGTGGCGCGAAGGGTCGTACGGTTACGAAGGCATCTTGACCGTCGGGCAGACAACATCAGGCAGCAGCAGTGGCGAGGATTCTGCCCAGGCAGTTTGTAACCGTCTGGAGTCGCACGGTTGGGTTTCGCTGCAATAAGGGAATGCACCCCTTAGAGTACATGGCTAGACTAGGTCGATTCGTATTCCCTTGTACTCTTATGTATATTCCTGTACTTGCATGTTTTTATTATCTCAAGCATTTTACATCCACTCTGCTATTGAGGTCAAGGGCCCACCACCACTACTCTGCCGTGTGCGAACCTTCCTGAGGTGATCCTAGGCACGATCAACTTATGATCGCAACAGTAACAATGGGAAAAGAGCAGTTGATTTTTTTTTATGCAGAGGGACGTACGCTTTGGAGGCAGTCGCAAAGTGAGGTACAAAATCAAGCATAACAAAACAAAACAAAAAACTAAGTGTATTACAACTGACGAAGCCTTCTGGCAGTGTGATAACAACGAGCCTATTTCCTGCCCCGTCAGCTAGCAATTTTGTCGTCTCCGCGTTCTCGTCATTGGTCCCTCCCATCAGCTTGCGTTTTGTCGGCTTTCCCACAGCCTGAGTTTGGGGGAAAGTTTTTCCTCGTTTCTTCCATCGTTTGGTTGTTACATTGTCGCCGTACGACCCACGGTCAGTCGCACATCACTGGTGTGCGCCCTGCCGACCACTTTCATCACGAAAGCTCGGTAGTAGACGACGGAACTTTCGCAGAACAACCTTGCATGCGACAGTCAAACCTTTCGCGCCCCGTGTTTCACACGGGGAATTTCGATTTCGCGCCTCGAGCTGCATTACTTCGCGGAAGGTCCAGCTAGCCAGAATTTCAGCGACCTTCATCCATCAGCCAAATTCGTTTGCCTGAGTAGGAGCTGCTTTGTAACAACGCCTACAAAAGGTGCAATGACGAGCAGATTTCAACACAGCAAAAACAACCACTTCTCCATTCTTCTATCACGCAACTATTGATCCGCCAACGCCATTCAGCTTCTTTCGACAGCCAAAGCAGAACCGACACTAGCTTGAAACATCGTCATTATTCAGATTTAAGCCTTGAACTTTGGATTTAGTATTAGCTGCGTATTTTTATTCTTATGGATTCCCTCATCTCTCGCTTCGCACCCCTAGACACCGACATGGAGCAGCTGACCAAACCCGACATTCGCGATCGTCAAAGCAAGGTTACTCCCGCGAGAGGCCTATTTCTCCCAACGCACAGTTTCGGAGGGAATAACGTGTGGAGCGATGTCCCTTTCCCCGCACAGCAGCGCTGATTCGGACGACCACGAATGCGCTGCTGGTATTAATGCAACCAGCAGCGATAGAAGTCGTCGCTCCAAGCTCGAGATTGACGTGAGCGACAGTATTAGCGACTGCAGCGACGTGGGCGACGAGAACGACGATTCTTCCGAATCCTCAGATGCCGCGAGTGACGATTCGCCGGACGAGATCTGCTCCACCGCGTCCACATTCTCCTGCTTCTGGCCGCGCTCCGCGGCCTCGACTGGCGACTCGTCAGACGGCCGCGCGTCGCCGCGGTCCGTGTTGCGGCGAGATCGCGCCTCGCGTCATCGGGAAGTCGACGTTGATAATGACTATTTCGAAGCTGAGAGGCGCCTGCCGGCTGAAACCCTAAGCGTCCGCGTCGCGTGTTCTGACCAGCTGAAAATCGAGGAGATTGAGCTTCCGGAAGACCTGTACACACACGATATCCCCGCTTCCTTCGCCACGCTCCCGCACAACACATTGTCTGCGAATCTTACGATAAATGCTTTCTCCTCTGATAAAAGGGGCTCATTTGTTCCCGTGGGTCGCACAGGCTCTCTGGGTCAGCCAATTGGTTTCCCTGCTGTGCACGCGTCAGGCGCTCCGATATTCCCGCCATCCCTCCACCACGGGTTCCTGGGATGCCCTCCGCAGCTTCTGGCGCAGCAGCAGATGAACCAGATGTACTGGCAGCAGATGCACCTGAACCAGATGCGGCTGCAGCAGGCAATGTACCTCCAGCAGCAGCAACAGAGGGAGTGGATGGTTACCGTGCATGTAATGCATGAGGTAACCATCAGCAGCATGCCAATATCATGGTCTCTGCCTTCTATAGTAGTAATGTGCTTGCCTGGGTTGGTGTAGAATCAATGCCCCAGAGGTATACATAGTAGTATCCATGCATCTGTGAAGCAAAATAATGAGCCAATCTTTATAGATTCTGTAAATCATTTTTGTAACAATATGAAATGCTGGGACGTTGTCATTTTTCTGGAGCAGTTCACTTAGCGAAGTGCTGTGCCCCAATGAGGGGAAGCAGCTTGCCTGATTGGCCATCGCCATCGTGGCATGAAATTTGCGGCTGCTGCGAGGTTGTATTGGCTGGAGAGTGGCTTTGGGCAGAACCGTTTCCACGTGGAACTCGAGAGCCACATGCACAGGCTCCATTCATCCACATTTTCGTGAACTCCACGAGACATTTCGCAATGAGTCGTGAGGCCTCGCGAGGACCTTTTGGCTGCTATACTCTGTTACGCATCGCGTCGTAAGGCTTCGCGAGGACCCTACCGCCTCACGAATCGTGGTTACGTTCTTTTCGCAACATGCGTGCAAACCACAGCCACAGCTTCCTCGAGAACTTGAGCACTTCTGGTTCCTTCAAAACTCCAGCTGTTCCGCCCCTGAAAAACTTGATGAAAGTGGTTTCCTCGAGAACTTCAGCTTTTCGGGATCTGGCTTCAGACAAGACTACCTCGGGTTCTCCCACTTCGTCTTCATTACGTATCTTGGTTCCTTTGGACGGAACCAAGGACGAGTGGCCGATTCTTCGTCTCCCTCGCTGGAGATTAGTGATTGTTCGCCCTGTTCCTTTCACATCGACCTGCTTTGCTCCTTCACGCTTCACGAGCCTCTAGTTCCACTCCCAGTCCTTGCTGACATGGCTTCATCCTGTCCGTTGGCTGCATCAGGTATCAAGTCCTCTTTCGTTGCACCGACCACCACGCCCATTCCTCCTACCACCAGCAACCATGCTTCCATTCTCCGCTCTTCTTATCCACTCCACACGCCTTCTCCTAGCTTCAGATCCCACGATACCTCTACCACCGTATCCTCGTTAAGAGCATACTCGGCGGACTTAGCCTCCAGGAACAATGTGCTGCATCGAGGAAACTGCAGAAACCATCTTCGAACGTCAAAGTCCTCCCGGAGATCTCACGAATCTCCCCCCTCCCGTCAGAGCTTCGTGCATTTCGAGTCGGCCAATAAGTCCGTGCGAGCAGCTGGGAGCCATGTCGCAGCCGCGGCAAGCGACGTCGCAGCCGCTGCTGCGAGCGTCGCAGAAGCGTCACTGGACGAGCGGGTGGAGCTTGGCGCGCTTCAGGGCCGGGCGAGGGAGGAAGCGGAGGCCGTGCAAGCTGCCGTCTTTCAAGCCGCACAGGAACTAGACGGTGTAGCAGCAGAGGCTGTAGCTGCCGCTGATGCTGCTGCAGAGGGAGAGGGAGAGACGAGGGATGAGAGGGGTCAGGGTTTAGGCGGCGGTTCCGTAGATGGTAGGGCGCGGACGAAGCGGTTGTTGCAGTGGGCGCGGGAGCTACATGGGGGAACTCCCCCCGCGCCTGCACTGCGCGCGCGGGAGAATCGTGTCATGGGCTGCGTTGCGCAGGTGTGGCTCCACGTGGAACTTGAGGAAGACACGTCATCATCCGACGGCACGGAACTTTCCCGCCTCAACCTCCGCCTGCAGGCCGATAGCGATTCGGATCTGACACGTGGCATCTGCCAGCTCCTCGTAGGGATCTTCAACGGCCGTAGCGTCAGCGCCGCGCTAGCGCTAGATTCTAACGGACCGGCAGTTAAAGCACTCTCTGCCGCCCTAAAACCCGCAGCCGCCGGCGCATCTCCCGGTAAGGCCGCCCCCGCTGTACGCACATCCACCTTTGTAAGCCTCCTCCTTTCCCTGCAAAAACGCGCGCGCGCTCTCGCGGCGGCGGCGCTCGGACGGACTCCGTCAGTGGCTCCGTTACCGTCAATCGTGATCGGGCGGGGCGGGACGATCACCGCTCGTGGGGATTTCGCGGTGACCCAGGCGCAGTACCTGCGACCGAACGACGCGGCAGTTGCGGCGCTAGTTACGGAGCTATCTAGCAAGCGCGTAGGCGTCGTGGCGCATTTCTACATGGACGCGGAAGTTCAGGGCGTGCTGGTCGCGGCGCGCAAATCCTGGCCGCACATCAAGATCTCGGATTCGCTGGTGATGGCTGACGGAGCGCTGAAGATGGCGCAGGAGGGGTGTGACTATATCGCGGTCCTGGGGGTGGATTTTATGGCGGAGAACGTGCGTTGCGTGCTTGAAAAGGGCGGTTTTGCGCACGTGCCGGTCGTGCGAATGGCGGCGTCCCCCATCGGGTGCTCGTTGGCGGACGCGGCGCGGAGCGACGCGTACGAGAGGTATCTTAAGGAGGCTTCGACGGTGCCTAAGTCGCTGCACGTGATCTATATCAACACGGCGCTGGATACTAAAGCCGTGGCGCACCATGCGGTGCCGACTATCTCGTGCACGTCGTCCAACGTGGTGCAGACGGTATTGCAGGTAAGCCAGTGTCACGTATGCTATCCGCCAGATGCACACAACGCGCTTGCATGCTGCAGGCTATACACACAGGTTGGTGCCCACTGTCTCGTGCACGTCGTCCAACGTGGTGCAGACCGTTTTGCAGGTAAGCCAGTGTCACCGGTATGTTATCGAGGTATGCCAGTGTGACCAGCATGTTGTGTCACCATCACCAGTATGTTATCCGTGAAGTATTCGAATCCAACTGCGAGCAGAAAGTACACAGGCGCATGCCATTCATCTCACGCACGTTGTCCAACGTGGTGCAGACCGTTTTGCAGGTGCGCCGCTGGTATTTGAAGGAGAACGGTAGGTGGCTGGCACAGGGAGGAATGGCTGGTAACACAAGGAACTTTGGATGGTATTGTTACCGTCCTTTTAGAGACGTCTCAAAACGATATAGCAAGTGTCAAAGCAAGGAATTTGGTACCCTTTTTCACCCGCCTCTACCACATTCCCTTCATCTCCCTCCACGCTATTCCTCCCCTCCATCCCCTCCCACTCCCCCTCTCGCCCATCGGGTCGTTTTTTCCTTGTTCGCGGCCCCTCACCTTGTTACTCGTTCCTTTGTTCCCTTCCCCCCTCCCCCTCTCCCGCTCCTCCCTTCGTCCCTTTGGTCCTCTTTTTCCTTTTCATTGGCCCCTCACCTTGTTACTCGTTCTAATATCCTGGTGAAGTTCCAGACCTATGCCTTTTGTTCAGACATTTCACTCTTTCCCCCCTCCCCCCACTTCGCCAACCCCACCCCCTACTGCCTTTCCCCCCCACTCCCCGTTCCCCTCTCCCCCCCCCCTCTTCCTACCTACATTCCCCCATTTGCATCATCTTGGCACGTGTTACAACCACACCAGGCTTTCGCCCAAGTTCCGGACCTGAATCTTTGGTACGGACCAGACACGTACATGGGAGCGAACCTGGTCGAGATGCTTCAGCAGCTCTCCACCGTACCTGACGATGAGGTTCGGTTGCTTCACCCAGACCACACCCAAGCCTCGCTCCGCGCGCTCCTGCCTCGGATAAGATACTTCCAGGAAGGTGCCTGCATTGTTCATGACATGTTCGGGCAGGAGGTTGTTTCGCGGCTCCGGGCGGCATATTCCGACGCTTACCACACCGCACATTTCGAGGTGCCCGGAGAAATGTTTGCGCTGGCGATGGAGGCTCGTGCAAGGGGTCGCGGCACTGTTGGGTCAACACAAAACATATTGGATTTTGTAACTGCCCGAACGAGGGAGGCGTTGGAAAGGGGTTATGAAGGGGAGAGGTTACAGTTTGTTCTAGGGACAGAGACTGGTATGGTTACCAGCATTGTGCAAGCGGTGCAGGACGAATTGGCGAAGGTTGAGAGCGGTTCTGATGGTGCCGCTGATGTGGAAGTAGAGATAGTGTTTCCCGTAGACAGCTCAGCAGTTGCTTCCACTAAGGAGGATGGGAGCAGCAGCAGCAGCAGCAGCAGCAGCAGCAGCAGCAGCAGCAGCAGCAGCAGCAGCAGCAGTGGTAGTGGGGGTAACGGCAAGGCAGCAGGGTCGGTGGCAGCAGCGATGCTGCCGGTGGTGCCAGGCGTGAAGGGCGGGGAAGGGTGCTCTGTCACCGGCGGTTGTGCATCGTGCCCGTATATGAAGGTGAGAGGAAACGTCTGAGTTCTGTTAAATGACTTTTGATTCAACTCAAAAGGGCAGCAGGATCTGTGGCAGCAGCGATGCTGCCAGTGCTGCCAGGCAAGCGGGGAAGGGTGCTCTGTCCCTGGGGGCTGTGCCTCGTTCCCGTATATGAAGGTGAGAGAATTAAACAATATATAACAGGCATTTGAGCTAACTCAAAGGGCAGCAGGGTCGGTGGCAGCAGCGAGCTGCCGGTGGTGCCAGGCATTAAGGGCGGGGAAGGATGCTCTGTCAGTGGCGGCTGTGCCTCATGCCCATATATGAAGGTGAGAGGAAACTTCTGAGTTCAGTTAAAGAACATTTGAGTCAACGTATAGGGCAGCAGGGTCGGTGGCAGCGGCGATGCTACCAGTGGTGCCAGGCGTTAAGGGCGGGGAAGGATGCTCTGTCAGTGGCGGCTGTGCCTCGTGCCCAGAGTTCACTTAAGGAAATTTGAGCCAAGTCAATGGGTGGCACCGTACCACGATTAGTGGCAGCTGGTGTCAATGGGGGAAATGGAGGAATGGGGGAATGGGGGGAATTGGTGAAGGGGGAACATTGGTTGGTGCCACTCCACACATAGAGGTCGTTCTGTGACTGGGGGCTGTGCCACGTGCCCGTAAATTATACATGGGCAACGAGCCGAGCCGAGTTTTACTCGGCTCGTCCCCAGGCACACTCGTACGAGCTTTGTTCCGAGCCGAGTTTTGCTCGTACGAGCTTTTTCCGGGCAAATGCAAGCTCGTGACTCGGCTAAATAGCACGAGCTTTTCAAAAGCTCGTCCGAGCTTCAAAGAAAGCTCGGTCGAGCCGAGGGAAGCTCGGCTCGTTGCCATATACATTCACGTACTTGCTTATGCTGACGTACGAGTTTCCCAAAAAGCTCGTCAGCGCAACGAGTGCTCGGCGAGTTTAAAAAGCTCGCCGAGTTAAACTCGGCTCGGCTCGGACGAGCTATTTCCGAACGAGTGACGGAAAAGCACACTCGTCACTCGCCCTCAAACGAGTGCCTCGTACGAGCCGAGGCGAAAAACTCGCCTCGTTGCCCATGTATACCGTAAATGAAGGTGAGCCGACTCAAAAGAGGTGGAGTGGCGGGAATGGGGGGGATGTGGGGGAAGGTGAACACAATTAGAGGAATAGGAGAAGGGTGCTCTGTCACGGGGGGCTGTGCCTCATGCCGTACATGAAGGTGAGAGGACCCAAGGGGGTTATGGGGGGAATGGGGTTATGGGGGGAATGGGGTTATGGGGGGAATGGGGGGTATTGGGGGGACACATGCACAGAAGTGGGAGATGAAGGGTGCTCTGTTACGGGGGGGCGTATATGAAGGTGAGTATATGAAGGTGAGTATATGAAGGTGAGTATATGAAGGTGAGTATACGAAGGTGAGTATATGAAGGTGAGTATATGAAGGTGAGTATATGAAGGTGAGTATACGAAGGTGAGTATATGAAGGTGAGTATATGAAGGTGAGTATACGAAGGTGAGTATATGAAGGTGAGTATATGAAGGTGAGTATATGAAGGTGAGTATATGAAGGTGAGTATATGAAGGTGACTTGGCTTAAAAAGGGGGAATGGGGAGAACACGCATAACAGGAATGGGATGAGACGGGTGCTACGTCACTTGGGGATGTGATTCTGCGAGGTGTGCTGCATGTACTTGAATGTGAGAGGTGTGAGGGGGATGGGTGGAATGGAAGGAGTGGGGGAAACACACACATGTTGCAGCTTGTGAGGGCAATGGCTTTCGAACGATTTCCCGCATTCCTTCCATTCCCCACTCTGGAGTTGCTTTTGAGACGTCTCAAAAGGGGGGTGAAGGCTGCTCTGCGACCAGAGGTTGTGCTCTCAAACCAAGAAAACGGGTAGAAAGCTGCAAGCTCGGTTCGACCGACCTGACTAATCTGAGAGGTACTAAAAGGGGGGTGAAGGCAGCTCTGCGACCAGAGGTTGTGCCATGGTTCCATACATGAATGTGAGAGTCGTGAGGGAGATAAGAGGAATATGGGATACACACATCTCTGTAACTCCCATCCCCCCTATCTTCTTCCCTCAATTGAACTCCATGGACGTCCTAATGTCCGTTTGCCACATGCTGGGTGTAGCTGATGCTCCCATACCCTTCATTTCTGGTCCCTTTCTCACTCTATCCCTCTCCATTCCTCCGATTCTCCTTGTCTTCTCTCCCGCAGATGAACTCCCTAGACGCCCTAATATCTGTGTGCCACATGCTGGGTCAAGCACTTCCATCTAATGCCTCGACGTTCTCCCTTTAATACTCCCACCCCCTCCACCCTTCTCCTCCAGATGAACTCCCTGGACGCCCTAATGTCTCTCTGCCACATGCTGGGTCAAGACGATGCCCTCATGCTTCTTGTCCTTCTCACTCACTCCTCTCCATTACTCCCTTCTCCCCTTGTTCTCTGTCAGATGAACTCCCTGGATGCCCTCATGTCTGTCTGTCACATGATGGGACAAGATGATGCTCTCACACGCCTGGCGCCGTACGAGCCTGACAAGTTTGCCGAGCCTCTTGGTCCGGGTACCGTGGCGGACCTGGGCTACTTGCCGATCCTCCACATGAGGCATTTCCAGGTAAATCACAATGTTTCGTTGCTCCATGTGTGTCACAAGCACTCATCAACCCCACCCCACCCCCCTTGACCTGTGTGGAGAAATCTATTTTTGCCCACCACCCTGCTCTTACCAATATTTGCCCTTTACCCCTCTCCCGTCTGTCCCTTGTCATCCCCACCCCACCCCCTGGGCCTGTCTGCAGAAAACGGGGCGATTGTCCGAGGAGCTTGTTGCCGACATACTGACAAGGAATCAGAGCCAGGATAAGCCCACACAATGATTCCACACAATGATTGAATCGGAGAATCCCTGCGTTGACATCCGTACCTGGCTTTTGCTACTCATTCCTAGGTTCTGCTGTAGCTGAATTGCCGCTGGTGTGGTGTTCGCGTTTAGCAGGCGGGGATTAAAAACACTGGTAAGGTAGATTCTTTTGCATGCATTTGTGCTTGTGGTGTGGGGATCAAATGCAGAAGTGTAGGATATGTGCAGTACAATGGGTTGGCTTGACTGTTTCACCTTGAGAAATATGATAGTTCATGGTCTTTGAGAGTCAATGCTGTTACACTGAGACCTAGAACCTTCCTGTGGAGACGCGCAAGATTGTGATGTGTTTCCACAGGAATGTACCCTTACTCTAATGTGGTTACAGGCAGGGCATCACAGGACCTCCCTCTAAAGCAGACCATGAAAGTATCCCATGCAGCACCCAAGCACATCTTGCTGTGAACCCAGTCAAATTGCCACACACACAGCTACCCCCTAGCAGGATTTCTTCCTGGAGTATCTCAGTGTTTCTTCAAATTTGTAGAAACATGGTATTGTTTGTGACCCAATCCCATCCCTGTGATTGGCTGGAGTTCGCGCCCTGTAACGACGTCAGCAGGGGGTTCTGCGTGGTGGCAGGAAACTTCGATTGCGGTAACGATGCACTGTACGCGCAATGCGCTCTGTTTCGCTGCGTCGACCCGCATGTTAGGGAATCTCGACTCGATGAGAGCCAATGAAATCCGACACGTCATTCCATGAAGGAAGCCAACCACCATTCATTGTAGTCACAGTGTCCTGAATTCGTGGGCCCCCCGGCCCCCCCAAGATTTTCCCTCACCAGACTGAATCGTTCTTGACCGAGTTTCTCACACTGTTGTCGAAGCGCTCTTGTTTCGACAAACAAGCATGGATCTCGACAAGAAAGCAGGCTGCCCAACGCGGGATTTGGTGGTGTTCCGCCAACAGAGGAAGCATGGGAATTTTCAGCCCGGGCCGGACCCACCCAAACAATTGTTTCCAAGCCTCATTCGTACCGGATTTTGCGACTTCATATGCAGGCAACAAAGCCGCCGACTCCCAGCAACCGTCGAATCACAGCGTCTCAAAAGCCTCAGACATGTCCGCAGCAAACCTCGAACAGACCCTCAAGTGTCGTCCGAACCTCAGCCCCACGAAGCCAGTGCTTGAAGCTTCCATCCAAACCAACCTCGCACCCAATGAATTTTCGACCAGTACAATGGGTTGGGGGCACCAACAGCACTGATTCCAAGCCTGTATTGAGTGCCCCAAGCCAACTTGAGTTCCCCTTCCCCCCCCATTCTCCCCCTTTCCCCCCGGGCCCCCCTCGATTTCCCCTTATCCAACCACTGAAACCTGATCAGCCTGTCGTCCAATCCCAAGGTCTTGTTTTTCCTCAGCCTTCTCTTTCTCAGGGGACTACAGAAGGCGTTTATTGTGACTTCAATATCCATTTTCACATCTCGTTATTAGCTCCCTGATCTGGAGAATTTAGACGCTCTATTTCAGGTTTTGTGAAGGTCTGTCGGAGATGGATCTGCTGATGCTCGTAACGAGCGTGTTCCGCGCTGACGTCTCGATATCTCCGGCCCAGGCGACGTGGTTCGGGGTAGCCGCTGCAGTGGCCGTTGTTGGCGCAACAACATTCGTTCTCTCATCTATCGGCAAGCCCGAGGTGAAAGGCAAGTCTACCACAGAGCTCGGCGGAGGAAAGCTGAAGAAGGATGAAGTTGCTAACGGCTAGACCAACTATGACAAATACTTCCAACAAAATCCTGGCGAAGGAGTCACCGAAAAGAGCCAAGCTCCTCAATTCGTCGACACATTCTACAATCTCGTGACCGACATTTACGAATGGGGGTGGGGTCAGAGCTTCCATTTCTCGCCTGCTCTCCCGGGGAAGTCCGATAGGGAAGCGACGATCGCTCATGAGGAGTACATTGCGACTATATTGAAGCTTAAGCCTGGAATGAAGGCTCTGGACGCGGGATGCGGAGACGGCGGACCAATGCGAGCGATCGCGGCGAAGTCCGGAGCTAATGTTACTGGGGTTACTATTAACGAGTATCAAGTGGAGCGTGCTCAGCAGCACAATGCCCGGAGAGGATTGGACAACCTGTGCACGGTGGTTCAAGGAAACTTTCTTGAGCTGCCGTTTGAGGATAACAGCTTCGATGCTGCTTACTCTATCGAGGCTACCTGCCATGCTCCAAAGCTGACGGACGTCTACGGCGAGATCTTCCGCGTGCTGAAGCCCGGCCAGATGTACGCGACGTACGAGTGGGTCAAAACGCACAAGTACGACCCTGACAACAAGGAGCACGTTAAGATTATTGACGACATCTGCTACGGAAACGCGCTCCCGGAGCTCCGGTCTTACAAGGAGATCGTGGAAGCTGCTGAAGCCGTGGGGTTCGAGGTTATCGACAACAGGGATGTCGCAGCTCCTCCTGCTCTTCCCTGGTGGACTCGCCTCAAGATCGGCCGGATCGCGTATGCTCGCAATCACTTGCTTGTGAAGATCGTGTCGATGCTCAACATTGCTCCCAAGGGATTGGTGGACGTTCACAACATGCTGACTACGGTCGCTGTGCACCTGACACGTGGAGGCGAGACCGGGAACTTCACTCCCGCGCACCTGCTGCTGCTCCGGAAACCCGCAGCGCCGGCCTCCACTTAATGTACGTATTTTGCGTGTGCAGTACACCTGACTTGTTTCCAGATTTGAGATCTAACTTCGATTTTGAGATCTGACTTCAATTTGAGAACTGACTTCATTAAGGAGTGGTAAATCTCACGTATCCTTAATTCCTTTCTGTTCACTTCAGTAGGATTCTGTGTCCTCTACCTCAGTGCTCAACCATAAATAATCCGATGATCAACGCACGGACTCGCGAGTGCTGTCGTGGGTGTCTAGTTCGCGCGTGGGACGGTGTGTGACCCTGTTTTCCTTCTTTTATTGCGTGCTCTTTAACGTACTCCGCTTCGCTCTCGCGTACTCCGTAGCATAGCATGCGAGCGAGTGTGAAGGAAATATGAAGAGGGACCTGTTTGTGGGGCCGAAACCCGCTGATCCGTAGACGTTCTTCGTCGTCAGCTTGTGTGTCTTTGGGTTTGTGTTGTTTAACGAGCAAAGCGGAATTCTCGGTGAACGTACTCTCACGACGTGCAACAACGATGCTTGTCGTTTTAAATAATCCCAGTATATAGATCGATCAGCACAACCCCATTCCCGTTTCCACGACCTCACTCAGCCTCTTGACTCTAGATTCAATCTTCCTGCAAATCAACCGGCATTCCCTTCACAAAGGCCTCCACGCACCACATTCCTTTTCTCCCATGTCCCTCGTCTCATTCCCCACTCTCCCTCCCTTAAAGCCGTCCCCTCCTTCGCGCTTTCCCCGACTTTCCGGTCCCTCATTTACTCAGTCCTTCTCTCTTACACCCGAAACCCAAAACCCTTGGCCGCTTCTCCTCTTCCTGTGCACCTCCTTCACCCTTCCCCTTCCCTTCCCCCTTTACCGATCCCTCACCGCGCCATTTCTTTAACTCTCTGCCCTCTTCAACTCCACCCCTCCCCTCATCAACCCCGCCTCCCTCCTCCACCCCTCCTATTCCCTCTTTCACCCCTCCTCTTCCCTCTTCCACCCCTCCTCTTCCCTCTTCCACCCCTACTCTTCCGTCTTCCACCCCTCCTCTTCCCTCTTACACCCCTCTTCCCTCTTACACCCCTCCTCTTCCCTCTTACACCCCTCCTCTTCCCTCTTACACCCCTCCTCTTCCCTCTTACACCCCTCCTCTTCCCTCTCCCCCTCCCCTTATCCCCTCCCCTTATCCCCTCCCCCACTCATCCTGGTGGTTTTTCTTTCTTTCTCCCTTCAATGCTGCTGCCCACTCTTTCCCCTTCTCCGTTCCTCCCATCTCGTTCTCCATTCCCTCTTCTCGCCCGTCCCTCCCTCTCCTTATCTTCCTCCGATACACACTCCTTCCTTCCTGCCTCCATTCACTTGTCACTCGCCCTCCTTCCATGCATCCGCTTGTTTGTTTGATCACCTCTTGTCTCCCTCACTCCCTCCCGCTCTGCACTCCATCCTCCCCTCCCTAAATCCCTCCTGCCTCCCTCCCGCCATCCCTCCCTCCTTCTCTCCCTCCCTCCCTTCCACTTTCAGTCTTTCTCTCTCCGTCACTCACTCTCTCCCCCCCTCTCCCTCTCTCTCCTCCCTCCCTCCGTCCATTCGTCCCTCTGCTCCCTCCGTATATGCAACCATCGAATCTTCATTCATTCTGCTCCCCTCTCTCTCCCTCCCTCCTTCCCCCCTTCCCTCCTTGCATCCATCTCTCCATCCCTTCGTCCCATCACTTTGCCCTATACTTTCATCCCTAATACCTCCTTCCTGACCTCCCTCCCTACACTCTCCTCCTGTCCTGTCCTCCCTCCCAACCTCCCACACCTCTCTCACTCATGTCCTTTCCTCCCCACCCCACCCTTCTGGACATCCCACTCCCGCTCCTCTACTTTCGGCCTCCTCTCCCTCGCACCTGCCTACCCACACAATGCATCTGCCAGCCTCTCCCTCCCTCCTCCTGCCACCCCGCCCTTCTGGACAACCCACTTTCAGTCCTCTACTTTCGGACTCCTCTCCCTCGCACCCGCCTACCCGCACAATGCGTCTGGGCACTCCCTCCTCCCAAGCTCTACTACCTATGCATATGTACAGCATGCATGTGTGCTTAAGGTCGCACACATGCAGAACAGGGTAGCTGTGCCGGCTTTGACCAGAACCATTTTTTTGCTGCATACTTCAGGATAGGGTGTTGTTGAAATCGTTCCTGTAGGTTTTCTACTGCTTTTATTTCATTCACAGTACATGTAAACAGAAAGATGCTTTCCACAATTAACAAGTTGAACACATAGATAGAAGTAGTCGCACCAGGTGTACAGTAATAGTTCAGGGCTGAACTATTGTAGTAAACAGTTGTATTATGCTGTTCTATCAAGCATTTTTACACAGGGTAAGAACACTAATGGGGTGGCAACCTGAACATTGCTGTTCATTTTTTTCACAAGTTTTCACAATTGATAATCGTCAATGTAGCAAGAGATCGGCATCATTAGTATATACATATTGTTGACAAGATTCACACTGGGCTGAGCTGTATAGGGAAGCCCTACCAATCCACTGTTCTGGAGTTTGCACCACTGTGAAGCTTCTGTTTATGTTCTGCCTCCAGCTCCTCCTGCAAACCAGAAGATGACGCAGGCAGGGTCAAAAGCTGCAACAAATCTAAACAAGTAGCAGTAGCAAAGGAGGCCTTAAGAGCATATTCCTACGGGGCCACCTCGTATCAAGAATGGTACTCCTGCCTGTAAATTGACAAGTTCGCCAAAACCTCATATCAGTAAAAGTTGCCGGTTAACCCACATGTGCGACTCCATCAACAGCTGATGTGGCATGTTGCGACCCAGCATGAACAAGTTTGCACACTTTGCACGTTCGCGCGCGGCGCACGACTGCCACCGTGTGCAGTTTCGCATGACTGTTTGTCGGCCGCATTCACTGGACTGACGACTTCGCGTCAACTGGAACCGTGCGTCGGAAAATCAGCACGTTCACTTCTGGGTGTGCGAGCATTTTCATTGGTGCGCTGGTTCGGTCTATTCTTGATATAAGGTGTTTTATACCGTAAACAAAAGTCAATTTCATTCTTGATACGAGGTGGCCCCGTAGGAATACGCTCTAATAGTCGTTCGTACATATAGTTGAAAAAAAAATTGGGGGCTACACAGGAGATTCATCACCTTGGAAGCAGAAAGCAATGGCCGCAGGAAGGTGCTTTGGAAGATTTCCATGAAGGGAGCGAGTGATGTTGACTCAATGCCGCCTGCAGTGCAAAGAAAGAAGAACCAGAGCATTGCACAAGATACGGAGCCCAATCAGTGCACAATACCGTGACGCGAGGCACGCGCGCAGTCAAATTCTGCAGTCGCGTCAGATTCTGCAGTCAAATTACGCTACAGTAATCTGTCGCTTCCTACACTTTCGCTAAAAATAGATGTGTATACAGTGAGGGGGATCTAATCCGGATTCGTTACAAAAATGGGGGTCTATTACGAAAGTGCATATAGCATTAGAACCCCCCCCAATTTAACGAAGTGGGGGTCTATAATTTTGGGGGGTCCATTACCCGGGTAATTATGGGTAGGTTCATTACTTAGCTCAAAGCACACGTACTGTGCTTTGAGGAAGGAGGAGGATGTGAGGTGGGTGGCCCCGGGCTATCCAGACACTGAAGAGCAGATCCAGGGGACGGAGCTATTTAGAGACGGAGGAGCAGCAAGGGGCAAAGAGTTCAAAGAGTTTTTGATAAGTTTCAAAAACACCCTGCCAGGGCTATTTAGAGACGGAGGAGCAGGGCCAGGGGAGTGGCAAGAGGCAAAGCAGCACCTGATTGAGTGTGGGGGCTTGGCTTGGCTCGAAGTCAGCACAGTTGGCCGGGTCGATGGGCACACACACAGCACCTGTGGGAGGGGTGAGAGGGGAGACGAACACACACACACACACACATAGCCAGAGAGCACCCGAGAGAGAGGGCACAGGGGAAGAGAGCAAGGAACGGGAGTCGGGGGGGGGGGGGGGAAAGGCATACAAAAGCAGACACGTAGGGCATGATCCCAGGTCACGCTTTCAGGTGCATGCACAACGGTGCCTTTAGTGAATGTTTTCTGTGGAGAATGAATGTAGGGACAACTTAAGCACTGGCAGCAACGCAGGCGGGGCGTGAGAGAGAAATACCTGTCTTGGGGTGCACGCAAAACGGGGCCTTGAGCAAATGGTTCATGTGCTTCGACACCTGTGCGGAGCAGAGACATAGCGAGATAGCGAGAGAGCGGGACAGAGACAGCAGACAGAGAAACACAGGGTGAATTCGAATCATAAGGGACATAGAAAGATGGACAGGCAGAGAAACAAGGAATGCCGATAGAAAAATGCAACTGTAGATAGAAAAACAAAATGGTTCATGTGCTTCGACAACTGTAAGAGATAGGAAAATGCAGATCATTACCGACAAGCGAGATGCACATCGACACATCAAGCCCACCCACTGAGAATTCTCTAGCCCACTGAGATGTACACAGGCGGAAAAGAAAAACCCACCCACCCACCCACCCACCCACCCACCTCCAGGTCGAGGCGAGGGTACGTGAAGGCAAACACTATCTCCTCCACAGCCTTCCTTAGCGATGCATTCTGCACAAGAGGAGCAGAGGGAGAAGGTATGGTGTGTGAAGGTAGCGATACTGCATGAGGTGCCTCAAAAGCACACCCAGACGCGAGGGTACGTGAATGAAAACACTATCTCCTCCACAGCCTTTCTTAGCAATACATTCTGTGTGCGGGGAGGAGAAGGGGAGACAAGACAACGAGGAAGCAGCGTGTTTTTTTTGAGTTCTCAAAAATACCCTGAACAGAATCACTGTGAAGTACCAATCCAAAGCGAGGGTACATGGAGGCAAACACTATATCCTCCACAAGGGAGGGAGGGGGGTACCTTCTTAGCCGCCCAATAGGTACAACTGAGGGCGGTATTACTTTCATAGCAGCCCTATACGGTACAAGTGGCAGGAGGTGCGTACCTTCTAAACAAAGGGCACGATTGAAGGAGAGAGTGAGCTGACTACCTTCCTCGCTGTGGCCCGCGTGATAGCTTCCAGCTGCTGCCACCTGTACATGTTGACGTCAGCAGGCCACCTCTGTAATAGCCCAATCTAAGGTTCAACTGAGGGAGGTGCTTACCATCTTAGCAAAGGTTACAACTGAGGGAGGGAGGGAGGTGCTTACCTTCTTAGCAAAGGTTACAACTGAGGGAGGGAGGGAGGTGCTTACCTTCTTAGCAAAGGTTACAACTGAGGGAGGGAGGGAGGTGCTTACCTTCTTAGCAAAGGTTACAACTGAGGGAGGGAGGGAGGTGCTTACCTTCTTAGCAAAGGTTACAACCAAGGTTCAAAAATACGGTTTTCGTAAAAAACGGTCCGTTTTTTACGGTCCGTTTTTTACGGTAATTTTCCAAAAGAACGGCGTTTTTTTGTTAGAGAACTGTTGTCACCAAGAAAAAAAAGGGAAAAACAAGGTCGAATACATTTTCAATCATGCCCACAAGCGCACGCATGCAAGGAGGGGTTCGTCCTCTTCATCCAGGTACATTTTGCCATCAATTTGGTCCCAGAAATCGGCCGATTTTTTCTTCAAACGAAACCACCTTCTGGAACCCTTTTTACCGTTTTTTACGGCCGTTTTTTACGGTAAATTTTCAAAAAAACGACGTTTTTTTTAACCTTGGTTACAACTGAGGGAGGGAGGGAGGTGCTTACCTTCTTAGCCGCAGCTCGTGTGGCGGCCTCCAGCTGCTGCCACCTGTACAAGTTGACGTCAGCAGCTGCTGACGCACGCCTGCTGTCGCTGCGCCACGTGGCATCCATCCGATCCTGCAGCTCTGCGCGGGTGGAGCGGATAGGCCGGGGATTGGGTTGGGGAATGGGGGTGGGGGATTGAGGCGGGGGACTGGGTTGGGGAATGATTGAGGCAGGGGATTGGGGTGGGGGATTGGGGTGGGGGATGGGGTTGGGGGATTGGGGCGGGGGATTGAATGGAGGGGAAAATGCAAGAATGGCGTGAGGGGCATGAGTGGTGAGGGCCAATAAATAAGGATCCAATTGGGTTCGTCGATACTCATGAGGGACATGAGGGGAATGAGGGGCATGAGGAGCATGAGGGGCATGAGGAGCATGAGGGGCATGAGGGGCATGAGGAGCATGAGGGGCATGAGGGGCATGAGGGGAATGAGGGGCATGAGGGGAATGAGGGGCATGAGGGGCATGAGGGGAATGAGGGGCATGAGGGGAATGAGGGGCATGAGGGGAATGAGGGGCATGAGGGGAATGAGGGGAATGAGGGGCATGAGGGGAATGAGGGGAATGAGGGGCATGAGGGGAATGAGGGGCATGAGGGGAATGAGGGGCATGAGGGGCATGAGGGGAATGAGGGGCATGAGGGGAATGAGGGGCATGAGGGGAATGAGGGGCATGAGGGGCATGAGGGGAATGAGGGGCATGAGGGGAATGAGGGGCATGAGGGGAATGAGGGGCATGAGGGGAATGAGGGGAATGAGGGGCATGAGGGGAATGAGGGGCATGAGGGGCATGAGGGGAATGAGGGGAATGAGGGGAATGAGGGGCATGAGGGGCATGAGGGGCATGAGGAGCATGAGGGGCATGAGGGGCATGAGGGGCACGAGGGGCATGAGGGGCATGAGGGGCACGAGGGGCATGAGGAGCATGAGAGGTGTGTGAAGTGCTACAGTTGCTTCGTGCACGATCGTACCTTGGTCTGGCAGTTGCGTAAGCTGCACTTTGACTGACTTGGTCTGGCAGTTGAGCAAGCACCCCCTTCCATGTGTCCGGTTGGCTCAGCAGCTCTTGGTTGGGCACCCCCCTTCTTGATCGCACCTTGTGCATGGCATAAATCTTTGCACATACTTAACATCTTCTCCACCCTACCTTGATCTGGAAGCTGGGCAAGCACCCGCTTCCACACATCTGGTTGGCTCAGCAGCTCTTGGTTTGGCACCCCCCTTTTGATTTGCACCCGTATTTGGCAGTTGCTTGAGCCGCACTTTGACTCACCTTGGTCTGGAAGTTGATTCAGCACCCTCTTCCATGTTTCTGTTTGGCTCAGCAGCTCTTGGTTGGGCAGCACTTCGCTCTCGAACGTGCCTCTTAATACTTGGTCGTATGCCCTCCTGGACATGTAACCATACAACAGCGAACGGAAAATATAAAAAAAAAATGTTACGAAAATGCGCTTCTTGCATCAAAACGCCACACGTTAGACATAAAGAGCAACCCAGGAACCAGGATAATGGAAAAAAATATGCTTTGCCCACATAAGAGGGGTGCAGAGCAGCACTGGAGGAAAACTATTCACTTGAAACTCAAAAGAAGGAACTCAATAACATTTTTTGCTCACATGAGGGATGGGTGCAGAGCAGCACCGGAGGAAAACTATTCACTTGAAACTCAAAAGAAGGAACCCAATAACATTTTTTGCTCACATGAGGGAGGGGTGCAGAGCAGCACCGGAGAAAGACACCTTGCTTCCATTGGCTTCAGTTCCCTGCACATCGTGTTGATATGGTGTCAGCATGGCGTTAATGGTGTTAGTAGAACCTGAGTCATTGAGTGAACTTTATTAAATGCACATAATAGCAAACAAGCCCATTTCACTTCAAAGAGCATTTTCCTGCAAATGGTGTTACAAGTGCATGCGTATTCAAACGACGGTTATCCCTAGTACCTTATACACTCGAAAGTATTCAGCTATTGCCGACCGTTGCTCATTGGTTAATCTGATGAGGGTTGGGGATGGGGATGGGGCGGAAGCAGAGGGAATTCAGTCGGGAGGGAACATCAGCAGAGAAATAAATGCAAACTTTGCAGCAGCAAGCATGACGGAAACTTTCTTTCCTAGGATTGCATTTTTAAGACGTCTCGAAAAGTGAAACAAGCCCAACCTCCAGCACCAACCTTCCCTGCCAACTATTCCCTTGCCACCACTATAGAAGTTAACATATCTTTCCTCTCACTGGTTCTTTTGCTGCCTCCCCTCACCTCCTTGCTCGTCTGTCGCAGACCCAACAATGCACGCCTCTTCTGCCACTGAACACCCACAAGATGTGCTCGAACCCAAAGTCCTCTGGCAGGTGGTAGGAGATACGCACAGGTCGAGAGGAGAGTGAGAGAGAGAAAATGAGTATTTCTTGGAAAAATCTCTCTAGAACGTCTGCCACTGAACACCCACAAGATGTGCTCGAACCCAAAGTCCTCTGGCGGGTGGGAGGAGATATTAATAGGACGTTAGGGAGAGGGAGAGAGAGCGAGCAAACACTATGACGTAATATGTGCGTGAAACTCCTGCCAGCCACTGACGCTCTTGAAGCTTTTTGAGTGGACTCAAGAAAGTACCTCTAAGAGCTGTGTCGACGACTTTAATGGCAGCTGTCATGAGCGGCCAACACTTGGTGCACACCGACGCTCCTGAGCAGCATGTTCGCACATCGTCGTAGTCGCTTATATCCTGTAACGAATGAGTCAGAAAGGGAGCTAAATTAGGGAGCGCGCGTCATGAGCGGCCAACGCTTGGTGCACACTGACGCTCCTGAGCAGCAGGTTCGTACATCGTCGTAGTCGCTTATATCCTGTAACGAGTTAGGCAGCAAATAAATTGGATACGTAGAGCAGATAACGCATGTCATACATAGCCAGCACTTATCACAGACTGCTTCCCTGGTTCAGCAGGTTCAACCATGGTCGTGGTCGTTTTTGACAAGAGAATGGGGGTACTCGAAGACAGAGCGGGAGTTTCATGTCTGTGCTTCCGAAATGTATTCGAACGAACGTGCTAAGGACGAGAATTGACGAGAACGAAAAAACTCAACGTACGATGTCGAAAACAAGCTCCCGTTCCACAGGAGCGAAGGCACTCTCCGACCCAATTCCTTGATACGCCGCTCGTCTCGCCGGCTGTGATCATACGGAAAGAAGAGATGATAAAAACGAGGATTGATTTTATGGAATACAGGAACGAACACGCGCTCTCCTACGGGATCCCCTGTCACGCCGCCTGCCATTGCAAGAATGGTGAAACGCACGCATGATTCGAAAATCCAAAACTTCAAAACGCGTTTGTAAGAAACCGCGAGTATGACGTACGTCGACGTTGTAGACGGCTCCTATGTCGATCTTATGCGGGTTCTTATCGCGGATGGCGGCCTCCATGTCCGCGGCGTCGCGGAACGACTGGTATCGCACATAGATGTCGTGCTCTCGTCGGATAAAATTGGACTACCCATTGATTCGAGCACAGGTTGCAGACTAGACGAGTCAGAAATGATTTCTCGAATAAGCTGCACGCTGCCGCTGTAAGAGTATAGATTTTGGGGCTGAAGGGTGGTTTGAAATGGACGCCAGTCGAACAACTCTCGTTCACAGCAGACACACGAGCTAGCTATCACAAAATGAAACTTTTATAGTTGTCAGGAGCAGTGAAACAGCAGGCTATTATCAATTGTCATGTCAGGCATTGTCATGCAGCAGCACGAAGAGGCGCTGGAACGGACAGAACACCCAGAGAACTCAGGGAGTTGTTTTTGGCGGGAAAGTGCAGAAGAGCATTTGAATTTGCAAAAACAAACCGGTAGAGTCACAGCAGACATCGAACGCCACACGTCACCACGCCCCCAGCCGTGAAACTTGCTAGCACCAGGTCGCGAAGCGTGCGCCACACGTCACCGCGCCCCTAGCCGTGTCTCGATAGCTGCAGGTCGCATAGCGTACACCACACGACACCTTGCCCCGAGTCGCGAATTCAGCTAGCACTAGGTCGCGAAACGTAAGCTTCACGCCAACGCGCCCACGGCCACGAATCCCGCGAGCAACAGGTTAGCGCAGCGATTGCTTCACGCTACCCTGCCCACAGCAGCGATTCCACGTAGGAGCGCGTAGTGAAGTGACGGTTTCACGCCATAGCTGCGATTTACGCTAGGAGCAGGGACCCAAGTGGACGGTTGTTGCTTTCGCCCCTGACGCCACGACTCACGTTAGGAGCAGGATCTGCAGTGGACGTCTTCGCGTAGCCGAGTGTGCAGCTGGTTTTCCCTTGCTAGGAGCAGGAACTGCAGTGTGCGTTTCCTCGTTACCACGTGCACAACCAGGTTTTCCCCGCTTGGAGCAAGATTAGCAGTGTTCGGTTTCTCGCTACCCCGCCACACGGGCACACCGGGCTCTCTTGTTGCTAGGAGCTGGAACTGAAGAGCGCGGATCTAGACAGACGCTACAGGATCCACGGCATGGCCGACTTGCAGCACGAGCACACACCTACGCAGGCACCGCATGGCGAGGCGGAAGCACTTGCTGACCCAGACAGGCACTCAGGCACTAGCGCTCGGGAGTATGTAGCGCAGCCCCAAGCAAACACTCTCAAGCGGCCTTGGGTAGGCCCTACGCAGCCACTCCTCCTCGGTCTCCGGCGCCTGAGCTCGGTAGACCGACTTTGCTCGGAGGGGACACCATGCAAACGACACCGCGAGGCACCAGCCGCCCCCATGAGCACCAACGACATGCTCGGTGTACCGCCGCTCTCAGGAACTTCGCAGCGGCTTAGTAATGGGGATGCTCAGCCTCCTTTGGCTGAGGCACCACTCACGGTTGGTGAACAGCGGGAGGCGGCTGTTACCCCACGCACGCCCTCGGTAGACCAGCAAGCATCGCCCAATTGCCCACACGCATCCTCTGGGCTGGTGGATGCACAAGACACCCGAGGGGTAGATGGGCGTGGGCAGGAACCAAGAGATCCGGGGATGGACAGGGCAGTGGCGGCGTGGGAGGCGCAACGCCGGCACTTGCAGGAGCTGCATAATAGGCGGCGGCGCGAGCTTCCACTTGGTGCCACGGCAACAGAGTCGCCCTGCACTCTTGGAGCTTCAGTGGGTCCTAGCAGGGCTCCACTTGGACCGCGCTTGGCACGACGGCAGGAGCTGAGGCGTTTGTTGGTAGCTGGCACGGGCGGTCGGCAAGAGTGGGCGACGGCAGAGCAGGCGGAGTCGACAGCGGGGAGGCAGGAGGTGCAGGGGGCCCTGCTGGCGGATGAGGGCCGGGAGTGCGGGGCAGGTGGGCAGCAGGGGGTGACGGATGCAGGCCTGCCGGAAAAGGTGCTGAGGAGGCAGCCGAGCCGTCTGGCGGAGGGCCAGCTGGGCCTGCCGACAAAGGTCCAGGGGGAGTTACTCGAGGAGGAGCATTGGGAGCGTGGGGAACAGGGACGGAAACCAGGGAGGGAGCAACCGGAAACGCTGTCGGCGATGCAGCAGGGTCTGCCGATGGCTGCAGGGGAGACTAGAGACATCAATCCCTTCCCGAAGGCACGAACGGGGGCGTCTCTAAAGGGATGGGCTGGAGCTGTGGAACATACTTTTCTCTTTCGGAGCGCACAAGGACAAGGTGTGCAGCCCGCGAGCACGGGGCAAGAGGGCGTGCGCCGTCGTGGTCGAGGTCGCGGTCGTGGTCGTAGCGGGACTGCTCAACGAGGGCGCCTCGCGGGCCAGCACGAGCAACAGTCGGAAAGGCAGCCAAGTGAGTTGCAGGAGCAGCAGTTTGAAAGGCAACAACAGCGGAGTCAGCAGGGTGGGCTGCCTCCCCGGCAGCATGAGCAGCTCGGCGAAGGTCAGCAGGGATGGCAGCCAGGAGAGCAGCAGAAACTGTGGCTTAGGGAGCAGCAGGAACTGCAAATGAGGGAGCAGCAGGGAATGCAGCCAGGAGAGCAGCAGGAACGGCAGCCAGGGGAGCAGCAGAAACGGCAGCCAGGGGAGCAGCAGGACATGCAGATAGGGGAGGAACAGCAGGAAATCCAGATGGGGGAGCAGCAGGCACGACAGCCAGGAGAGCAGCAGGAAATGCAGATGGGGGAGCAGTTGGAACTGCAGCCTGGGGAGCAGCAGGAGCTGCAGCCAGGGGAGCAGCAGGAAATGCAACGGGGGGAGCAGCAAGAAATGCAGCCAGGAGAGCGGCAGGAAATGCAGTCAGGAGAGCAGCAGGAGCTGCAGCCAGGGGAGCAGCAGGAAATACAACGGGGGGAGCAGCAGGAAATGCATCCAGGAGAGCAGCAGGAAATGCAGCCAGGGGAGCAGCAGGAAATGCAGCCAGGGGAGCAGCAGGAAATGCAGCCAGGGGAGCAGCAGGAAATGCAGCCAGGGGAGCAGCAGGAAATGCAGCCAGGGGAGCAGCAGGAAATGCAGCCAGGGGAGCAGCAGGAAATGCAGCCAGGGGAGCAGCAAGAACTGAGGCTGGAGGAGCAGCACCCGGGAGAGCAGCAGGGGCAGCAGCTGGGCACCTGGGTGGGTGATACATGGGAAGTCATGGGTGTAGCGAGCCCACTTCGAGTGGAGCAGCAAGAAATGGAGACAGATTTGGTGCCTGTGTCACAGCTCTCGGGCCACAGTGGGGAGCACCAACAAGATCTTTTTGTTCCTCCTGGGGAGCTGCAGATAGGGGAAACGGATCAGAGAGGGCAGCAGCTGCGTGAGCTGGGCGCTCAGGCGCAGGGGCCCGTGGACGATCAACTGCCACGAGGCAAGGGCAGGAGGCGACGCGGAGGCCAGGGCAAGCAGCAGTCGGGCAATCAGCAGGATCAGCAGGCAGAGGGCGAGTTGGGGCGGCCGCTTACGAGCCAACGTCCGGGAGGCCAGCTGGTGCGACGGCGGCCACTGTCAGGGGAACAGGGAGTGACTGCAGCACCTGAGGGCGTGCAGCAGGCAGGGGGGCAGCAGGGAGTGACTGCAGCACCCCAGGGCGTGCAGCAGGCAGGGGGACGACAGGGAGTGACTGCAGCACCTGAGGGCGTGCAGCAGGCAGGGGGACAGCAGGGAGTGATTGCAGCACCTCAAGGCGTGCAGCAGGCAGCGGGACAGCAGGGAGTGACTGCAGCACCCCAGGGCATGCAGCAAACAGCGGGACAGCAGGGAGTGACTGCAGCACCTGAGGGCGTGCAGCAGGCAGGGGGACAGCAGGGACTGATTGCAGCACCTCAAGGCGTGCAGCAGGCAGCGGGACAGCAGGGAGTGACTGCAGCACCCCAGGGCGTGCAGCAGGCAGCGGGACAGCAGGGGGTGACTGCAACACCTCAGGGCGTGCAGCACGCAGGGGGGCAGCTGGGGGCGAGGGCAGCACTTCAGGGCGTGCGGCAGCGGCAGCAGCAGCGGCAGAAGCGTCAGCAGCAGCAGCAGCAGCAGCAGCAGCCCCCCCCGATCCCTCCGGAAAGCCCCACACCGGGGGTTGCGGAGAATTCAGCCACTCCTGACACGGCTCCACTTGCTCCAACTTGTGTCCCTTGCGAGTTCTGCTTTCACACATTTCCGCCTGGTAGTGCGGCCTCCCGCCACATAGTTGCATGTAAAGCGGCAGATGCTCAGCGGCGGGCTCAGGCCCTTACTTCCTCCCCGAACCTGAGCGAGG